CAGCCTAGATAGAAAATGGGCAGAAGGTGAGGCAAAAGAAGCCTGTCAGTGCCTGTTTAAATATCACTATGAAGTATCACCTGTTATCATAGCCACAGATGGTTAGACAGCTGGTTGGACGTTCATTACCTCGTGGAGCAACAAAAAACTGAACCACAAGAATAAACCTGGAAGCCGCAAAACAAGATTTCCTCTGAGTAGTTGAAAGCAATGAGCCATAAATAGAAGTGACACCAACATAATATTTGCAGATGAATCATAGGCTGTACAGCGTACGATTCAGAGTGGTTAGTCCTCACACAGATGGCAGAAAACAAAACAACTTCATGGCAAGACCATCACCTGGAACTTTGTGCCAGGCCACGCTAAACAATGTGGCTGACAAGCTCGTTCGAGAAGCCTTTTTATCGAATACAACACAACATAAGTGGCAGGATATCTACATTCTTTTCATTAGTGAGGTAATAGTGGTAAATATAAAAGGTGTTCATCGACATTCAAAGTGAATGACATTGCTGGAAAACAAAGTACTATACGATATAGCTAGGAAAAGTGAAAGATGGGGAATCAATAAGACAGTACACCAGCCACTGGTAACGTCAAATAAGAAAGTATTTTCTACCTCCTGCGAAGCAGCCAAGCTCCAAATAAAGTGCAGTAACTGGTGGTGCAACCAGTAGAATTGTCACCTAGTTATCAATTCAATATAACTCTTCTCAAGTTGGTTGCTCAACCGACATGATATACTGTGGACAAATTGATTACGTTAATGGCGTATGGTGTGTTTTTGACAAACTTGTTATACAGTTCCTATGATGTGCTTTGGACAATCTGGCTAAAGAGCCACTATGATGTGCTTTGGACAATCTGGCTAAAGAGCCACTATGATGTGTTTTAGAAAAGCTGGTACAAGTCACCATGATGCGTTTTGTACAGTCTGATTACGGAGTTATTACGACTGTTTTGAAGAAGCTGGTTACACATTCGCTGTGATGTGTTTTGAAAAAGCTGGTTACACACTCGCTGTGATGTGTTTTGAAGAAGCTGGTTACACACTCGCTATGATGTGTTTTAGAAAAGCTGGTACAAGTCACCATGATGCGTTTACAGTCTGATTACGGAGTTATTACGACTGTTTTGAAGAAGCTAGTTACAAACTCGCTGTGATGTGTTTTTAAGAAGCTGGTTACCCACTCACTATGATGTGTTTTAAAAAAGCTTGTACAAGTCACCATGATGCGTTTTGTACAGTCTGATTACGGAGTTATTACGACTGTTTTGAAGAAGCTGGTTACACACTCGCTATGATGTGTTTTGGACAAGCTGATTTCACAGTCGCTATTATATGTTTTGGGCAAACTGGTTACGCAGTTGATACGATGCGTTTTGGATAAGTTGGGTACATATTAGCTGAGATGTGTTTTGTATACCAGCTTTTCAAAGTTTTGTTAGTAAAGATTAATAGTGTTTAATGCAGGTTAGATGAGACGTTTGGCTTCAAACGGGTCAACTGTTTGTAAATAAAATAATTGTTAGTTCATAGAAACTAGTTATGAAACTCTGTCAAATAACAAACAATGAATTTGGGAGGTATCTATATATATATATATTTGAATTTCAGTTACTGAGAGATTATATAAAGAAATTCTTATAGATAATTTAGACTTCTAATTAAATGAATAAAATAATGTAAATGATTTTTTAGATTATGCAGGCTCTGAAGGCGTCTCAAAACGAACTCTTCGTTGATCATAGTGATGCTTATGTCACTCACTTCTGTCATCATGCTTCTGTTATTTAACGTGAGAGAAAGTTTTCAACTTTGAAACATTCAGTGGTGATTTTTCCGTATAAAGTGCATTTATTTCTACATATACAACACTAGGAAAGCTCTTGGCAGAGCGACATCATATCTTGAAAAGTTCGATTTATTTCTACATATACAACACTAGAAAACCTCCTGGCAGAGCGACATCATATCTTGAAAAGTTCGATTTATTTCTACATATACAACACTAGAAAACCTCCTGGCAGAGCGACATCATATCTTGAAAAGTTCGATTTATTTCTACATATACAACACTAGAAAAGCTCCTGGCAGAGCGACATCATATCTTGAAAAGTTGGATCGTTTCGAATATTCGCGCTAAGTTACACAAGAGCTACTTGCGTCTAGCCATCCCTAATTTTGAAATGATGGACTAGAGAGAATCCACCTAATCAACAGCACCCACCACAAACTATTAGACTACTCTAATCGAATACTGGGGTTTCACCCGTCTCTATTATAGCGCATTTCTGCGCCCCAAAGTGCGGCGATTCTACGGAAAAGGACGCAAAACGTGGATCCTTAGATTCAAAGTCTGGCACGTTAAACACTAGGCGACGCTCGGCCCTATATCTCGAATAGCTGTACTGTGTAACAAAAATTTGTAACAGTTAGATTCTCCTGGGCCTGACACTACCTGGCGTTTAGTGCGCTCGACTAGCAATTTATTGTTCGTGGGTTCGAATCCCGTCACCGAGCATGCTCGCCCTTTCAGACTTGGGGGCATTATAATGTGAAGATCAATCCCACTTTCTATTGGTAAAAGAGTAGCCCAATAGATGGTGTTGACTACCTGCCTTTATCTCTAGTCTGTTCCTTCCAAATTAGGGACGGCTAACGCAGATAGCCCTCGAGTACCTTTACGCGAAATTCAATGAACAAACAGAATGAGATTCTCCTGTGAGGGGTTCAGTAATCTTTCTCAGTCATTTGGTAAAGCATTCATTACTTTTAATACAATTTTCCATATTTTTATTTGTGAATAATTGAAATGATTGTTTGTTTGTTTTTTGAATTTCGCGCAAAGCTACACGAGGGCTATCTGCGCTAGCAGTCCCTCATTTAGCAGTGTAAGACTAGAGGGAAGGCAGCTAGTCATCACCACTCACCGCCAACTTTTACCAACGAATAGTGGGATTGACCGTCACATTATAACACCCCCACGGCTGAAGGGGCGAGCATGTTTGGTGGGACGAGGATTCGAACCCGCGATCCTCAGATTGCGAGTCGAGCGCCCTAACTACCTGGCCATGCCAGGCCAATTCAAATAATAATCACCATTTTTACAGATTATCAAAATAATCTCAAATCGACAAAACAGTTTTTGTGATACTATTAAATTTTATCTTCTTAACACATTGTTTTTTAGTCTTTAATTCCAAGACAGACAAAGCTTTATTTTTATTTAACTATTTTAAAAAGTATTCGTGGTTTCAATTTCGCGCAAAGCTATACTAGGAGGGCTATCTGCGCTAGCCGTCCCTAATTTACCAGTGAAAGAGAAGGCCTTTTCAGCCATGGGGGCGTTGTAATGTGATGGTCGATCCCATATTTGTTGGTAAAAAGAGTAGCCCAAGAGCTTTCCCTCTAGTTTTTCACTGCTGAATTAGTTACGGCGAGCCCTCGTGTAGCTTTGCGCGAAATTCAAAATGAAAACAAAGTTACATTCAACGAATGCTTAACGTAATCAAAGTTACCGCGAAAAGTTGAGCGCTGGCGTTTTTAGTAGACTTATTTTTATACTATACTTTCAATATTAGGATCAACTACGCTTTTCAATGTAATAGATAATAATACAGTTACACATTATCTCTTTGATAGTTTTTCTATTTTTAACTCGATTAAGTGCATCTTTCTTGCCAGTTTGATGAAATTTACTTGTTAACGCTTTTTTTGGCTTAGTAATCTATACAATGACGTAATTTAATTACCAGTTAGTTTCTTTTTTGTTACTATATTCCAATTACCTATAATTTTAAGTCATGTATATACGTATCAGCATGCCACGTTCGGGGAAGTATTGAGAAGGACTGTAGGTGGTGGAAGGCGCCGGGAATCGATTCTGGCATTGTCATATTTTCTGCCTACAGAGGGCGCTTTTATACGAACAACGTCTAAGCCCACGTTGTTCGTGGTTCGTTCAGAATTGAGGTTGGAGAAGAGAAATCTAAGATGGCGAATTGTTATATCTCATAAACTTGGGTTTTTCAGATATATAGGCACATGAAATGACTGGCTTCGGTATCCTGAATAGTGCCTTTGGGATGCGAACTTTAAGGTAAGTAATCGGTGTACAGGTGTTTTAGTATCTTCATCAATTTCATGTATTTTGTTTGCTTAAAATACGCAAATCACGAGGTTGTTAGTTTTGACTAAAAAAGTTTTATTCAGATTGATTACAAAAAAAAGCTGTATCCATGCGCTTATAAGATCTTACACAATATACACGTAAAATATCGTACTTGGCTTACATATTAAAAACAAATAATACATTATTAGATATAAAAAAATACACCATATGTGACTTGAAATACAACAATATAAGTATATACAGTAAAGCCCATTTTAATGTCAACACAGATAGACATTGCTCCACGTATGCTAGATCCTAATATTATCCAAATATATTCACTATTATGCTCTACTCGAAAGTGCATACTATGGATATTCCAATTATCATCTACAGGTAATTAGGATCATCGTCAGATGTTCAACATTTTCATATTATCTCTATGTTCTCTATATAAATAATACGACTTAAGGATTGAAATATCAATAGCTTTCTTTTACACAAAATTTCTCCGTCACTTTAAAACAAGAATAACTAACGTATATATAGAAGGTATTTTAGTGGAACGCTTTCGTGTTATACCTTCAGTAAAACCTAAAGCTAAGAATGTTCACAGTTGAACACATGTTGTAAACATACACTGTTGAGAAGTTAGGTTATCCTTCATACTTATAGTTAAGTTTAATTCCAAAACGCCCACTCCTCATCATGCACGATATAATTTAGTTTATTTGATTATTTCTCGAATGATTAATGTTATATGGCTGTTTGTAAAAGATACAAATGTAAAATATATATATATAATTTTGCAAAATTTTCTCGTATTTAAAACAATATAGAATTCCAACAGCGTATTTCTGTATTTTGTACTTTGCATGTGAATTACGGACCCGATATTCTTCCCATGAAAAGAACCGTGCCAGTCTGTTTATCCATTATGAGGAACAAGAACGGATGGTCTGCTTCAAAGAAAGGCATGTTGAAGGAACCGACCCTCTCGACGATCGCTGCTGTCGCTGCAACGGCAACACTTCCTTTTTCGTCTATTTTAATCGCTGCACGATGCACTATGTCGGTCACGTGCAAGCGCTCGTTTTCCGGCTCATTCGAGGCAATCCCGCTGAGATTGGCATCAGAAGAAGAGAATAGATCATGCAGTCCCATGTCTTTAAGTACTTCGGTGATCTTCGGCGTGTCTTCGATTCGGAATCGGGGTAGTCGAACGTTGACTTCAGTTTTTTTCATGGTTTTGATAAGGTGCTTCAGGACAGTAGCGTTCAGCTTGGACTGGAGGTGTTGTAAACCTCCTATCTCGTCTGGGAGTACCAGAAACATGCTCACTCTTCGAATTTTATAAGGTAGCTCTAGCATACTTGTTTGGAACTGTTCACTGTAACCATAAGCCAGGTTCATCTTACCAACCATCATAGGGATAATGATGTGTGACTCGTCTGTGAGGTAAAACTTTCCGCTGGGATTACTCATGGCAGGATCAAACCTCCACAACCACTCGCCCGAAAAGTAGAGTGCATTAGCCAAGACTACACTGGTCCGAGGTTCAGGGGCTTCAGTCAAGATATCCTGGATTAGTCCATTTGTTTGCTTTTTTACCCAGTCGTTGATGGCATCTTGTGCTTCACCGGCATCGTTCATGAAGTCCAGTTCTTGAACAGTTGCGTTATAGTAATAACGTAAAGTAAATTCATACATGGGAGAAATTTCTAAATGATTTTTGATAAATATTCTATTAGCCACGGCAAGTAATCCATGATGAGAAGGGTCAAGGAACAGGTCATGAATTATGTTTCCGAAGGTATCGTGGATGTAGGATATGTTCAAAGTGCAGAATTTGAGGGCCAAGCAAATCTCTTGAGCTGTATGTCCTTTGGCGCCAAGATGACCCATCAACAAGACAGTGTAGACACTGAAGGGGGAAAAGATGATGTTTTCTTGGGGACTTATTCTAGACGAAATCCCCTGGAACATCCCCATAGTGAACTGCAAGTTGGACTCCATCAGCTGCTGGAATTCGGATTCTGATGGACGTACAGTCTGCTCGGCCAGAATTAAGTGAATAGAGATTACCAGCAACCCCGACCCCAGCCACCATGAATACAGTTTGTGCATGATTTCCATTGGAGAATCTTAGGGAGAAAAAAAAAGGAGATAAAAATCGGAAAAAAACAACAACTCTGAAATGTTCATATATTTAAATAGAAAACAAAATGTCAATCCAAAGGCCGAAATTAAGTAAAAGACGACTTACCAGATATATATATATATAATACTTTGAAGAGAATAGTAAATTTGTTTAAGTTTAAATATCATCATCTTTAACAGAAGTTTTCAAATATATATAGTTTGAAATAGGTATGGCCAATCAGCAAAATTGACAATTGGAAAACAATTAGCGCTACTATGGAATTCAAGTGACTTAGAAGATCTAAGGAAGACAAGACAGTTTGCAAAATGACCAAATAAACTAATTATTAAAGTTACGAGCTTGCTCTATAGAACATTAGAAACGGCTAAACTTACGTTATATTATAGATTAATTTCACTAGACGGATATTCTGTTTCGGGTATGCTATAGGATTTGCTATGAAACGCACTAATTCTAATATAGATATTTATGAAATGGGTGAACCATAACGCCGATATGATATATACAAATGATTGATATACGAGTTTAAGAAACACTGAGTAAATTAAGACGTATTTTTGTATCTTTTATTACTTTAAACGTTTGTGCTAATTTGATTAGAATATAGTTTTGTAATATTAAGAAATAGAAATAGAGAAGATGGACAGGATTTGTTCTTTACAAATGGCTCTACTGCTCGAAACTGTCTCTACAAACATATCTTATTGTGTTGCTATGCTACTCTTTCTCAATATTATCTCTCCATCATAATGATAACACCTTACATAGCTTAATATTCATTACAATCATACCTATGAATTAATCATATGACCAATAACTTTTCTCAATATACACCTTTATGCTCACAAACGAGTGTCCTCAAGCTACACATTGTTCATAAACGACTGTCTTAAAGCTACATATTGTTCAAAAACGACTGTTCTGAAGCAACACATTGTTCATAAACGACTGTCTTAAAGCTCCATATTTTCAGAAACGACTGTTCTGAAGCTACATATTGTTCACAAACGACTGTTCTGATGCTACATATTGTTCACAAACGACTGTTCTGAAACTACATATTGTTCACAAATGACTGTTCTGAAGCTACACATTGTTCATAAACGACTGTCTTAAAGCTACATATCGTTCACAAACGACTGTTCTGAAGCTACACATTGTTCATAAACGACTGTCTTAAAGCTACATATTGTTCACAAACGACTGTTCTGAAGCAACACATTGTTCATAAACGACTGTCTTAAAGCTACATATTGTTCACAAACGACTGTTCTGAAGCTACACATTGTTCAGAAAGGACCGTCCTAAAGCTACATATTGTTCACAAACGACTACATGTTGCCACTATTCAGAACAATTAAACTCGAATATTTCGGTAAATTTTTAGTACCTGAGCTAATATATACCGAATAAACGTTTACTCTTATAGAGGGAAAAGGCTATTTCTTTTAGGGATATTAATGTCTTTCGTTTCATTTTTTTACGCTCAATTAACAGCTATTAAGGTTTGTATAACGTCATAATTCAGTTAATATGATACACCAAAGAAAATCCGCTGAGATTATCTATAACGCTACACGGCAGGAGAAGGCATTCGAACATCTCTTGGAGATACTATACACGGCAGGAGAAGGCATTCGTACATCTCTTGGAGATACTATACACGGCAGGAGAAGGCATTCGTACATCTCTTGGAGATACTATACACGGCAGGAGAAGGCATTCGTACATCTCTTGGAGATACTATACACGGCAGGAGAAGGCATTCGTACATCTCTTGGAGATACTAGCTGGATTCAGTTTAAAATCTTCCTATAATTTCCGGGTGCATAGAGGCATAAATCGTAAAAAATAAAATAAAATGCGCGCTTATACTGGGAGGCGCCAGGTTACCAGTGAGGCTTTAAGGGATATTGTGTGTGTCAGGCAAAACATTAGATGGTGTTTAAATTAATTTTATTCAACTTCTTCACACTTACATTATATGCATTTTGTATCTCTTATGTTACTATGGAAACACGGATTTGTTTATTTGTAAGATTAAACTGGTTCACCTTCAGTCTTTCAGGTGATTTTTTTCAGTTCCACTTCTGCCCACGAACAAACTTATTCACACAGGGGAAGCACATTTTTGTGCGCGATGAAGGAGATTGTTAAATAAATTCGCACCGAGATTTAACTTTGGAATATTGCCCTCCAGTGGCACAGCGGTATGTCTGCGGACTTACAACGTTAGAAACCGGGTTTCGATACCCGTGGTGGGCAGAGTATAGATAGCCCACTGTGTAGCTTTGTACATAACTACAAATAAAAGCTTTGAAATAAAAGATTAGAACACGTCTTTTGATACTAACTGTTTCTAAAAGTAAACATGAAGCCCAATCTATCATTCGATTTACTTAAAGTCACTGAGTTATACTGGTTTCACATAATTCTACCATTCATCAGTAATCCTGTATAAGGGCAGATCGAAAGAACGAGACTGGGCTTACTATAATGGTGGAGTGAATATTATGTTACGAGTGAGGGTGAGTAAAATACAACTCAAAACACCATACCTATAACAAAACACCACACGTGAAATAATCACTGTTTATGCCATCCTCGAATTAATATCTTTTAAAATGTAAAACAAAAAAGTACCCACTTTCGTACATAGCTAAACATCCTTCTTCTTTATGTTACTTATTGATTAAAGCAACAAAGAAGTTGAGTACGTTACATTAAAACGATTTTGGAGCCTCACCTATGCCATTAAAATTCATGTTACAACGTCCTGTCACAATCTGTCTGACAACCGTGCATCATGACAATAGCCATACAGCGCAATTTCCTTTGCAAAAGTCTCTGTTGTAAGATTGTTATGTTCAAAGCACCCCCTCCCCAGGCTTTCCGTGATTCATCTAATGTATGAGGACGACGGTTTCCTAGAAAGCTGCACTTTGCTCACCACGGCTGGGACACGACTTGTTGAAGGACTTGTACCTTGGCTTCAAAGTAGATCGATATTCCTTTGCTCTCCAGTGTTATTAAGTAAAAGGAATATCTCTGTCTTGAAAATTCTGTCTCCAAACACATATTAAGGATCTGATTGTATGAATATTTTGCGTCAGAAAAGGCTGTTACATACCATTTCCAAAAGCAATCAATTTCCGGTGACTTCACACTACCCACCAACCTCAAACAATGTCAGAATGTAGTTCTGATTATTCTGTTCCACTGCGACTTTATATCAGCTGTGGCTCTTTCGTGACTTGCATATTCAAAACTGTTTTAATATAAGGCCCTTAGCCCTTTATATAACGCTAAAATTCGGGATTTGATCCTCGTCGTGAGCACCAGACACACAGCCCATTGTGCAGCTTTGTGCTTAATAAAAAATAAACACAAGGTAAAATATACTTTAAATGCTAGAAAGGTCATTATAGTTACAGTTTATCTTAAGTTTAATTAAAACACGGCAGTACTCATAATGTATCCTCATAACAAGGTGAGTACCAAGTCATTTAGAATCATATATAATATTTGAATTATTTTATTAAGAATGAAAACCTCGGAAAAGGACAAATCTGAATTATGAAAAACATTTGTCCAAATCTTTAAGCTTATATAAGAAATGAAAAATAAAGAATAAACAATTTCAACTACATTGAAGAAAACATAATATTTTATGTTACGCATATGGAATTTACGACAAACTTTTAGCTCTAGTAGGAATACACAACTTTTATAATGCCACAACCCATTCTTATCTATGTCAGTTAATAAGGAAACACAACTTCCACAATATCACAGAATATCTTTATGATCTATATACCTATATAAAGTAACAAGGAAACACAACTTTCATAATGTCACAGCATATCTTTATGATCTATATACCTATATAACGTAACAAGGAAATACAACTTTCATAATGTCATAACATTTATATATCTAATACACTTGAGTTTGTCTGTCCGTAACTTTCTCGCACATTACTCATCAAACGCTACAAATCTTATATTATTAGAAAGGCCTTTGTCCGAGGAGTCCAGATTGCATGTTGGATTTTTCAATTCAGAATCATTTCATCTTGTTTTCATTTAGTCAAACGTTCAATGCAACGAGTATGGAACACGATAGTATAATGTCGCTGTCATCATGTGCTGACTGGCTTCGATTTAAACTTTAGTTTTTTTATTTACAAAGTATTTCACACAATCAATACTTAACCCGCGTGTAATTTCCTAAAAAATTAAAATTACACTAAATACAATTGCCATGGGCTTTCTCGTCCTATTTAGGTCTAAAATACGTATGCACAGTTCGTTCAAAAACCATGTGCTTATCACTTTGTAAACATGCATTCAGACGTTTCTGCATATTCAGCTAAGTTTGCTTTCATTACAACTTTACATTTACTTTACTTTGCAATACTTTAGTTTCGGTTCGTTCCATAGACTGCTATAAGCACCTTTTAGCTACTTTTTTCTGTATTACAGGTTTTTTTCTTTGTTTCAACCCATAAAACGTGTCATACACTGAGCACTCATTAATGTTTCAAACTCTGTACACTATTATAAACACCAATACTTTATTGCTTACTTTACCTGTAGGTTTATTGAATAAAATTACGTTTACTTGAGTTTGTTTGTCTGACCGCGTAAATTTTTTCCAAATAAACCAGGATTTATCGATCTAACACGTAATGCCCAAGAAAGTGTAGCTTAAAAAGTTGCGTGAAAATGATAGAATAAAAAAAATTCAAGGGAAGAGCATGAAAACTACCGCAAATGTCTTGCAGGTCATGGCTAGTATTTATATAATCTATATATCTACATAAAGTAATAATGAAGTTCAACTCTCATAATGTCCCAGCCTATTTATATAACCTGTCTATCTATATAAATTAATAAGAAAGCACAAATCTCATAATGTCACATAATATATTTAGTTTTGTTTATAATAATAAAAGGGCGTGTATGTGTGA